ATACCTGGCCCTTAGTGACTTGCCCAGGGTTACGCTGGAAGTCTGTGGCGGAGCAGGGAATTGACCCAAAATTTTCTAAGTCCTTAGGCTAGTGCCCTAACCATCATCCTTCCTGTAAGCAGAGGGGTGTGTGCCTGCTACTCCACATGCCCACAGAATAAGCAGGTGGGGAGTGGGCAGAGCCAGCCCCCAGGTGTCAGCAAGCATAGCTAAGCCAAGAGAGGGCTGGGGAGGCTTAATTCGCTGCTGGTGTAGGCTAGGAGGAAGCTAGCCCTCCGAAGGAAGAGGGAATCGGGGTAGGATTCCGGCCCCAGAGAGGGGTCTGTGAGTTGCAATGCATCTAGGGTGGAGCAGTCCCCCAAAAGGAACAATCCAGCTCCTCACTTAATAAAAACCACACCGAGGGTCCGCGTTCGGGGAGTATCTTTCAAGCCTTCCACAGACCAGCACGGGTCTGAGAGCAACAGATTTTTTAAACGATGGGCTATAGCCCTTTTCCTGTTCAAGCCATCCACATTCAGGATCAAGGCAGAATGTTTACTGAGGTAAACATGATTATCCCCAATCACAGCCCCTAATGACGGTTATTATAATGACAGCGATTGTGGGGAAAGGGTGTGTAATTACGTTGATTCTTCTCTTTATTGTACATATAATAATAAGCAATTTCGTGCAACAGACAAGGGGGAAGATGGGGCATTTATTTCATTAGGCTCTTCAATGATTGGTTGATGGGCCAAATCCTGAAGTCTTTATTCAGTCTTTACTCAGGCAAAATTCCCACTCAACTCAGTGGGAGTTGAATGAGTAAGAAACCCTTATTACATTCTCTGCCTCAGCAGAGAATGGAGCCCTGTGGTGTTAGGTGCTATTTAGAATCTGGCCCATGCTGAAGAACAATGCTGAGCATTCGTCTAATTCCTTAATTTGGGGGGGAAAGTAATTGACGGATTGTGCCGGCTGCACGCTGGGCCTCTGAGAGAGCCGCAGGGCTGTCTCTTAAAAAGGAGTTGGAGGGTCCGGTAGATCACCGAGGTGCATGAGGCTATCCTGACATTCTAAGACACGTAATGAAGGGTTCGTAACCTGGTGGGAGAGCATGTTTATTTTAGGGGTCTGCTGTTAAATGTGCACATGCCTACCTCTCCAGCAGTACCTTTGACATGCTATGCATTACCCTGCCTCCTTTGCTCGCTCTGTCCCTGTGCCTCCTCTCAGGTTACACTCAGTATCTAGCCCCAGTAATCCAAGTTAAGTTGCTGTATATAAGTAATTGATAGGAACTAAAGAAAAAAAAATAGAGGAAAAGTACCCTGGCTCACAAAGCAGAAGGGAAGGTAATTTTGTTTAAAAAGAACCTTGTATTGCTTTCCCTTATTTATTTTTAGCTAGCATGAAAGGTACGCATAAAGAGGACCTCAAAACATCTGTGTATACAGCCCCTAGGATCTGGTTCTTGGATGAGGTCTTGTAGGCCTTGCTGTCATATACATGATAAATGATGATGAGTTCTGGCTGGGGGTCACCAGGGAAACTTCTCTATAAAGGTCCCAATTCTGCAAACCTGTGCGCGGGTAGCCCTTACTCAAGTAATTCATCCCATTGGAGCCAGTGGGAGAGAGGCAGAACTACTTAGATAAGAGCTCCAAACCCGAAAAGCCCAGTGGATCAGAATGGATTCTCTAGCACTAGTAGACTCCACCTGGTGGAACTCTGTCTGGACACAGATGCATGTACTAGGGCTCCGTTAACTCCACTAACCCATCCCAAGGCAGAATTTTAAGTTACGACACCAGCAGCGCTTTGGGACAAGGAACTTGTTGATTTCTCAACCCCATCGGCAGTTTTAGAATCATCTGATGCCATACTGTCAAACTTCCTTCTGACCCAGTGAATGATCCCTATTCTAACAGTTTTCTTCAGTGTAGCTGACATATTGCTTACTGCAGTGTTCAAAGTCGGCAGCACGTACGCTGGATTGATATTTGTTGCTTATGGTTCTATAGCAGGGATCTCAAACTCAAATCACCAGGAGGGTCACGTGAGGACTAGTACATTGGCCCAAGGCCACATCACTGGCACCTTTTGATATAAAGGTACAAAAGCCTTGGCCCCACCCCCATTCCACGCCTTCTATGAGTCCCCGCCTCTTCCCGCCCCCATTCCAAACCCTCCCCAAAGTCCCCACCCCAACTCTGCCCCCTCCCTGCCCCTATTCCAACCCCTTCCCAAAATTCCCGCCCCTGCTCCGCCTCTTCTCCGTCTCCTCCCCTGAGCGCGTGGCTCCCCACTACTCCCCCTCCCTCCTGGAAAGCACTAAGTGCCGCCAAACAGCTGTTTGATGGTGGGAAGCTCCTGGAGGTAGGCAGAGGAACGGGGATGCGGCGCACTGGGGAGAAGGGGGGGGGCAGCAGGTGAGGGGAGCTTGGTGGCCGCAGGAAATAACCCCGCGGGCTGCGTGTTTGAGACCCCTGTTCTATAGTAATAGTTAGAGAAGGAGAAGACATAAGGTAACTGGAAAGTTCCCAAGGTAGTTGCCCAGATTGCCACTATGGTATCTATGAGCATGGCAGTAGGAACTTGTCCACATCCAAGGAATTTGCAGCAGTGTAACTACATCAGTGACGTCCCTGGAGACTAAACACCCCTCTCCCCCCTACAAGTGGACTTTCCAGGGCAGGGTTGAGACACATGGGCAGGGTAACAAACATGAAAGGAACTTTAACTGCCACTGCCCTGCTGCCTTTTTCTCCTCCTCCCTGCAAATCAGTGGGAGAGTTTTGCTGTTGATTTCTGTGGATGCAGGATTGAGCCCGTTGTGTGCTTTGCTGACTCTATCTGTTGAGGACATTGCTGATTAACTGATGGCTACGCCCATTAATTTAAACTGGAAACCTTTCCTGTGCTCCTAGGATATAAAGAGGTGAAGAGATACTGATACGTACCATGGAGAAAGGCATCAATATTGCTGTTTTGCTCAGTTACACTAGTTTTTCCAGACAGGACCATTTAAAATCCATGACAAGCCCCCCGTTGACATCAGAGGGAGTCAGATGAGACTCGAGGTGTATAGAAAGGAAATTCGGTGCTGTTGTTTCTGGAATATGTAGCAGAGAACTTTTCCACTGAGTATCAGCAAGACATGACACTCATACTCGTTCTGCAAATTGGTGAGTTCCAGTTCTATTGCACACGCAGTCTGCAGCAAGTAGCATTTTTTTCAGAGAACTGTAGAAATTGCAGAAGGAAGAGGCATGTTTGAAGATCTGGTCCCTTCCTGGAACTGCAGGATTGTGTTCAACTGCATATCTATTTGATTTAGTTGGGGCAAGTGCTGCTTTGAGCTGGGGGTTGGACTAGATGACCTCCTGAGGTCTCTTCCAACCCTAATCTTCTATGATTCTCTGATCTCCTCATGTTTGAAAGCAGCATCTGGTGAATGCCCCACATGACGAGGCTTCCACCACAACCCTTGGGAGACTTGTAAAACATAATTGTTTGGGAAGACTTTCCTAATACTCATCTTACATTTTCCTTTTCTCAGTGTCCTGACAGTACCTCTAGTGATCCTTCCTCTTAACCACCCTAATAAATTCTCCATCCATGGTGTTTACATGCTTCTAATATTTATATTAGGACAGCTGTTCTTTGGTCCCCTTTTACATTTCAGGTCTGCATGTAAACACTTACTCTGCACTGTTCTTAAAAGTGCTGGCCTGTTTTCACCTTTCCTTCAAGTCTGTAATCACGACTGCATTGCAAATTATAGCCTAAAAAGGTATGCTGGACTAAATGAAGCATAAAATACAAAGGACATAGTGTTTAGACATTCTGTTGGGAAAAGGAGAAAATTAGTATGTATCTTTGTGGTGTGAAGTGTGGGTTTGCTTAGTGTTAGAAATTCTATGTTAACCGATGTTCTAAAGACGTCAGTTAGTGTAATGGGCTTGCAGGAGATGTTTTGTGTTTCTGCTCTATAAGATTGTGAGTTAATATTACTGTGCCTAATTGACTGTTCATTAAGAATGTAATCATGGCATCACGTGACTGCTACAGCATAAGATACACTAGGCGGTAAAAGTAAACAGCTGCCCAACTCTGCCGAATAAGGGGCTTCCCTCAGAAGGCACCACTAGCTTCCTGGAAACAATAAGTTGCAAGGAACTTGAGGGTCGTGACCCCTGAGGGAGTGTCGTGATAAGTCAGGGGGCCATGGCCACCATATCTTTCCGTATGCTTAGAGGAGCGGCGGAAGGCTTTTTTTTCTGTTGTCATCTAGGGTCATGAGGTGTAGAATGGCTGTTCTAAAGTAACAGATGCCCATTGTTTGAACGAATCCTCCTTTTACAGACATTGCCCCAGCAGTCAGGGCTCAGGTAATAGTCTTGAAGTGGGTATAGTATGGCTGAGATTTCCTAAGACGCCTCAAGGATTTGGATGCCCAGTTCCCTTAGGGCATCTTTGAACAATGCTGCCTGCAGCTGCTCCTTATTGTATTCCCCTGGCCAGCTCCATGCTGATTCAAATGAAACCACAGACTCCTTGTTGGAATGTGCATGCTCCTGGATGCACAGCTCTTCCCAGGTGCGCCTCAGGGCGCCAGGAGCAACTCACTATTCCTTGCTGGAGTGGTCCCTTTCCAGTCTTCTTGACCAAGCAGCTTGTGCACAAGTGCTTCTGCCTGTTTCTTGGGAAAAAGAACAGGAGTACTTGTGGCACCTTAGAGACTAACAAATTGCCACAAGTACTCCTGTTCCTGTTCTTTTTCCCAAGACTAACTAAGATGCCACAAGTACTCCTGTTCTTTTTGCGGATACAGACTAACACGGCTGCTACTCTGAAACCTTTCTTAGGAAAGGTACTTATGGCCCAGACACATACAGCAACCTGTTGTTTCTAGACTGGTTTCGCGAATCCCTGGTCTTAGTCAAAGCCTTAACTCTGGATGCTTCTTGTGGATTAAACACACTTTGTTTGTTCCCCTTTCCCCCATCTTCTAGATTTTGGTCATTCCACCGAGCTGGCCTTCGCTGTGGAGCCCAGCGATGACATAGCAGTGCAGGAGCGGCCGCTGGTGCTGTACTGCCAGGTGGAGGGAATCCCGCCCATCACCATTACGTGGCGGAAGAACGGGGTGATGATCGTGGAGAATGAGAACACCTTCGTGCTGGCCAATGGATCGCTGTACGTCTCCCGCTTCCAGAAAGTCAGGGGGGATGGGTCGTCTGATGAAGGTGAATACGACTGCATGGCTCAAAACCGCTTTGGGCTGGTGGTCAGCCGCAAGGCGAAGATTCAAGCAGCTAGTAAGTACTGCGCTCGCCCTATCCGTGCCTCCAAATTCCAGCCAAGGATGGTCTTGGTTTTGAATTAGAAATGTTCATTCCCTGGTAGCATTCAAGGATGCAAATTAGTTGTATTGGCTGGCTGGAGGTAGAGCAGTAAGTCTACAAGGATCTAGCACAGTGTTTCCCAAACTTGGGACGCCACTTGTGTAGGGAAAGCCCCTGGCGGGCCGGGCCGGTTTGTTTACCTGCCGCGTCCGCAGGTTCGGCCGATCGCGGCTCCCACTGGCTGCGGTTCGCTGCTCCAGGCCAATGGGAGCTGCGGGAAGTGGCGCAGGCCGAGGGATGTGCTGGCCACCACTTCCCACCGCCCCCATTGGCCCGGAGCAGCGAACTGCGGCCAGTGGGAGCCGCAATTGGTTGGACCTGCGGATGCGGCAAGTAAACAAGCTGGCCTGGCCCACCAGGGGCTTTCCCTACACAAGCAGCATCCCAAGTTTGGGAAACACTGACCTAGATGATATGAACGCCAAGTGGGTGTCATGACTTGATTATAGATCTGAGACAGACCGGTACATGTGCTGCCATTCTGTCCCAGAACTAATGGATTTTGGGAGCCCAGCTGCCACTTACATTTGCTCCCTGCCTGCCCTCCCTGTATCTGGTGCACAGAGGTGTGATTTGGGCATGCTTTCAGAACTGACGCAGGAGCGTCCGGGCCCCTCTTCCGATAGATCTTACACGCAGGGCTGGAAAGGTGAAAGTTCATATATGGACGGGATTGCTAAACAGTAAGAACCAAGCCATTGGCAGGCTTCTGTCTGGAAAATTGAATGGGGGTTGAGGAAAGGATTAAAGGAGTGAGAGAAAAAGACGAGTGGGGAGCAGATGTGGGCTATCGCTGTGATCTAATCTCCGGAATAATTGTACTCCTGTAAAAGGAGAGCTAATCAGCCCTTGCTTAAGGAGGAGAAAAATAAAGAGACCTCATGGTAGTAAATCCCCTGTCCCAAAGGAGTGAGTCACAGTCAGTCACACAGCGAATACTCCATCACTCACGTCTCTTCTGTGCTGTGTTTTGAAACCTCTTTGCCTCTCGCCGCTGCTAGGTACCATTCATAAGGCATCACTTTTCCAACAGTAGGCAAAGACCTTTTGAAGGTCACAGTTTCTTTGTTATTTAAGGCAGGCGGCATGGAAGCAGCAAGTCTTATTTACTCCCTGGCATTGCCTTTGGGGGCAAGGCTAACAACACAAGACAGATTGTCTGTTGTAGGAGCCTGTAGGGGGGGAAAAATGAAAATGTCAAAGAGTGAATGAAATTTAAAAAAAAGGAAGAAAGGGAAAAAAATACCGAGCAGGACACAATTGTGATTCCGTGGCCTGCAGTCTGCTGCTCTCTTATTTATCCCATTGTATTTGGAAATGCTGTTCCTGAGGTTAATTCTTTCTTGAGTGGCATGTGCTCTGCTGGTGCTTTCCTAAATGTAGCCTGCTTGGGTTTTTGATTGCTGGTTTGGTCATGAGTGTGAGCCTTGTCCAGATAACAGCAGCAGCTAATGACCCCCTGAGTGGTGGTTTCTCTGTGTGTGCCTTGCACAGAGAGTATGTCCTTTTGCCTGTAGGCTATCTGCAGGCTGCCTGAGGTCCAGTAGGGTGTCCTTTTTGCATTCAACCAGATCTGGTGGTTATATCTAGGCATGTACTTTATGTACCGTTCGAGTAAGGAGATACCCCATTCCCACCTTGGCTATCACCAGGCTGAGGTCCTTCATGTAAAAATTCTGGGCCACCTTTATGAAAAGGCCCCAACTCCTTTAAGAGAACATGTTTTGCTCACCCTTGGAGTAGTCCTGTAAAAACGCTTCCATTGCCTTTGTAATTTATTTTGAGACCATCCGATGGAAGGGGCAAAAAAGCCCAGGCAACATCCTCTGTAAGGGTGTGAAACTTCCCTGGTTATACTTATTGCCACCGAAACCACTTAAAATCCTTTCTTTCCTGCTGGAGGGCTTTGGCTCGCTGACTGCCCTTAAAGGCAACGCCCTGCCGTCAACCGTTCCTGAGTGTACGGAGAGGCCATCAGCCAACCTCGCTGTTTAGTGGTGTGAGTAATGACAGTATCGAGGAGGCAAAGGGTTTGGGTCTGTGCAGGTAAGCAGCCAGATCTATAACCTGTCAGTCTCCTGAGGACAAGCCTCAGAGTGTTTTTGGTGACCAGTGTTGTCACTTCTGAGCTGGGAGATGGCTGACACAGGAGTACAATGTCAGACTTCCTGGACCTGTAAGTGGGAGATGTAAGAGCCAGAGGATAGCTGCCGGTCAATAAACAATAAACGTAGCT